TGGATGGTTTGTCCAAGTGGGTGCTTTTTTCAAGGTAAAGAAACACCCTGACTCAGAAACGGTGCACCATGAAGTATAATAACTCATCTTGTTGGGAGAGTTTCGGTCAAACGGACTAGTGTTACATGTAGTTCTGTTGTCATAACAATATGCGAAACGTGCTACAGCCTTCTATACTATTGATGACGCAAACTATGCAGCGGGATCACTCCTTTATCGGAATATTTTCTGGTAGCTCCAATTCGAAAGGACGGATGCGAAGGCCTCTGTCTTCGTGCTTCGAGAAGTTTTATTCCGAGCATTCAGATGCCTCATACGAAGTCCGGAGAATGTTATGCTTCTGGCGCAAACGTTGTATTCACAGCGTTAGATTGAGTGAATAAAATGGGTGAAAGTTTTCATAAATTTGATATCACTCATGCCAGTAGGTGGGAGTTTATGGCAAATTGCTTGATATCGTCCTGGAAGCACTTAGGTCATGTTTACTTGCAGCCAGCTACTCCACTGCAAATGATGAGGAATTGCGGGCTTTCCACAGTCGGATCCGGGCAGTTGCCGGACGTACATCGCAAGCTACTAACCATAAGGCCAAACACCGAACCCCACCTGAAACCAATAAGCTAGCAAATAATAGTTGAAATTACTCGACAAGAATGTTGTTGCTTACGCAATACAGAATTGAAGACCTAGTTGACGTGCACGACTGACATGCAGCTTTGAGTTTGCGACGCATAATCAACCAGTGAGATGCGTCTTACGTCGATCGTAGCAGACAGCAAAGCGAACCCAGCTCACATGCTCGACTATCAGCAGCCGGGGATCCATGATGCCTAATCATCTGGCGCCGAAGCATTTGAGGTCGTGACGGGATCTGTGTTCTAGTGGTATGACAAACAGGAGATCTAATTCGTGGCGTTGTCTGAACGAGTCGTATAGTGGAATGCGTCGCCTCTGGCAGACGGTGCCTATGAAAAAAATGCACAAAGGGTATATAGTACGTACGTGCTTTGTGGGTGCTAATAAAAAAATGCACAAGGGTATATAGTACGTACGTGCTTTGTGGTAGCTTTGCGAATATGGAGATAGCTTATTATGACATCAGGGCCGAACACACCAGTGGCCACCCGCATTTGTGCAACTAGATTGTTTGTAGCGAAAGTCTTCACTTGATACTCTTAACCCATAATAGTTCTGAACAAACTAAATGGGTTACGCTTAGGAGAATCCTGTCAGGTTTCTACGAGGTCTTATATGACAAGACGCCTGGTACACATAATCTTTGATCAGAAAAATGTGGAGCTTTTATGTAGGTACCATACGTTATTCGCTTTAAGGACTTATCTAACTAGGATCGTCGCGTGTTCCGTTGACATTTACGTCGTCTGGGCAAAGTCAGAATAAGGCATTCTGCTGCGATCTGGTGAAACATATATGGCTGTGATGTGCTTCTTTCGACTGCAACACAAATACTCATCCGCAATAGGGAAACGTCACCAGGACGGAATGCATGCCATCTGCCATAACGTAACCTAGCTATCTACCACTTACTCAACAGGGTCAATTTACAATTGTCTGGCTGGTTGCTGATGCCCTCAGAGATAAAATAACTAATGGGATTCATGGGATAAACGCTACCGTACTTCACATCATGGTGTTCAATCCTTCAGCAGAGCCCAGCACGAAGATTTTTGAGGAAGTTTCGCATGTCAGCCAAGGATTGGTGCCGTCGTGACACAGCAGGCTGGATCAACTTCAGAGGCTGTTGAATGGCTCTCGTCCTTTACAGCCTGTGGATGTATGAACAAGCAAACGGCATTTAATCGCGCAGCCAAAAAACGCCGCAGGCTCCACTGCTCAATCAGAACCTGAGTTATAGCCGTAGCAGGCAAACCCCAAAGCCAAGCTAGATCAGAGTAATCAGACGAAGCTGATAGGCGAAGCCCACTTTCCAATGACAAACAATGGTCGAAGCACGGAAGCAAGTTCGGCTTTGTCTAAGCAAAGGTCATCTACCGTTCACCTCTTATCTTCTACACAATCACAGTGGGATCAAGATAATGTATTTCCCACCGCTTGCATGCAGGTGGATAATCAGAAGTATGTCTCACAGCGCAGTTTATTGCAAAAGTTCGTAGCCAACGGATTTGGAAAAGTCCTTCTTACACAGGACACATACAATCACCGCCGGGGCTGATGATTCACTGTGTTGGGTATGGATCTGACAGTCTGATTTTCTCGTGGCATAGAGTATCCCTTCCATGATGCCAAGCTCCATGGGTGCGGATGTGCGCTAGTGTCATAATCTGAAGAGATGTACCAAAGACATATATGCCTAACCAAAGCACAGCAGGTCGCGTTACTCTGACACCTGCCGGATGTCACAAATGGCCATGTAGGTCACGCAAATATCCTTCTTGGACAGGCTTTTAAAGTGGTTCATATATGACACGTACACGCAAGCTTTACAGCGTCCTGACCTCAAATGGTAAGGGCGGGTTTACGGTGTGCGTACAGATGTTTTGGCTTATTCAGTGAGACAATGGGTCAATGGTGTCAGGTGGATTATTTTGTGTTGGATAACCTGGTGGAGTGAATGCGAGTGGAGAGAATTATTTGGCTGCGATTTTGTGGCCTGCCATTTCCATATAAAGAAGTACTTGCGCAAGGGTCAAGGTCAGTGTATATATGGTATTGCCACTGTCCGCCTATAGATAACCTACATAAAAATATTGGGGTTTGCCACACAGCAGGTTTCCCTTTTTTCAATTCGATTGCCCAGCTGAGCGAACAAGCCAACGACCATCTAGGCTACCTGAGCTACCGAAATTGTACTTTATAGGTTTCCATTTTATTTTATTACATACACGTTTGCTGAATATCTTTGACAGTCCGCAATTGGTTTTGCTTATCTTGGGGCTCATCAAGTAGGCGCAGTTCCTGGGCTTCCATCAACGTTCTGTTTCACTTGAACTCAGATTAGACCAAGTTCAACCAATACACTCAGCTGAATTTTTCGTTCATGATATTTTTCAAATAAATGTGTTACACAAAGCCACCTCGTGTTTCAGTTGGTATGATATTTACGATGTCACAGTACATTTTTATGGAGGGCACTACTCACAAGCTAGTTGAAAACTCCTCTTCTGTGTGCGGCAAATTCAACTGAAGGATATCATAAACGAGATTCAGTGGAGTCTCTCCACCAAAATCGGGGATCTCTGCTCCTCAGCCCTCCCCATTACCAGTGGAGTTATTCAGGGTAGTGTGCTTGGCCCTCTACTGTTTTTACTGTACGTTAATAACGTCACCGACTCGATCACCCATGGATCCCCTTTTCTGTTTGCTGATGACATTAAGATAGCTTACAGGTTTAAGGCCAGTGATTCTGTCTCTACCATTGCTAACAGGTACGGAGTGGCTAAAGCTCTCAAGCTCTGCGCTTACATTCGCCGATCCTTCCATAATAAACCCTGTTTAATTGCCATTTTTAAACAATTTGTAAGACCAATGTTTGAATCCAGCCCTGAATTCGCCTCACGGTATTCACAGGCATGCCGGACCGCTGTGGAGAATTTGCAGCGCTCGTTTACTAAGTCCCTGTTTCCGGTGTCATCCACACTACCGTATCGTCTTCGCTGCTTA